AGATCAATTGACAAATTTAAATGTCAATTCCACAACGGATCGAAATAGATGCTATTAAATTCAAACGGTATTTGTACTTCTATAGACGAGGGTTTTTTTTCTATGAAGCACAAATGAAGCTAAAGAGAGGGGGAGATTTTTTTTCTTTCAATTATTTGTGTTCGGCAATGCAATCAAAACAGTAATCAGTAATCGTGATAGATGGCAAACTATCAATACCGAACTATTACACTTTACATCAGTGTGTCCTGAACACATTTATCATTCGATTGTGGGCCAAACCATCGAATAAATTGGCCTCATTTATTATTTTGTCCGAAATTGTCCCCGAGTCTCGTCGTCATCCGATTAGCCACACATCAGGCTTTTTTTTTGGAAATGTTTGTGCTTTTTTCTGCGGCTGTAGAGTGAGAACTGAGATAAATGGCATTCATCAAATTTATATGCCACCCATCGTATTTGCTTTCCACATGACTTGCACTCCACAAAGAAATGCCTTGGCATGCTCGAATTGCTTTACACATCAAAATAAACTGCAGGCGTACGATATCCAGTCGAAATCTTGGATCGTTTTGTTAAAAATGAAGGCCAATTTAAAATGCTTCAAAAAAAGGGAAAAAAATGACCGGAACCCTTTTAATCTTGCACCAATTTTGGACGTGTTTTTTACCTCCTCCGCCAAAAAAACAACCCGAACTGCACAACAAACTCAAGAATCGTTTGTTTTGAAAGGCGTTTATGTATATCTTACAAAACAACTCTCTCGAATCAATAAGACCAACATGAAAATTACATCTGTATTGAAAAATATATATATCGCTTCATCAATTTTCCGAAATGGCTGAAAATGAGCATCAGTGAAGAGAGCATTTTGAAATTAGTATTCATTTGGTTTTTATGGCTGATTCCCTTTTTTCTCATTTTCATCGTTTTCGATTTCTTTCGTGTCTGGCATTTTTCAATAAGTGATATTTTTCATCGATAAAGTTTCCGCATCAGCGAATAATGTCGTAGTGATTTCTTTTTCAATGGTCTTATACTTTTTGTGTGGTGAGCGCAAAGAAGCTATGAAATGGACGGATGTTGATCGAGTGTTCAACGTTTAAAGTACTCTCCCCCCGTCTCTTTTTTTCTCATAATAGCAGAGTTTTAAACCGCATCAAAAACTGTTCTCTCACTCACATCTCAGCGCACGAAGAAATTGTGAGAGACGAAAAAGAAATTCATATTAAGAAAAATCTTCGTTCATGTCGTAAGCAACAAGTTCGAAAATTGTCAATACAACGCCAATGAATACGATGTGTTTAAATTGGGAGAAAAAACTGTACTTCGAACATCACGTTCGCATAAACACTGATAATATGAATGTCGAAAGATGCCAAAGAAAAAGAAGACGAACATCGAACGAAACAAAAACCAATCTCCATCGATTTAATAGGTTTTTAAATGCATTCGTTTATACTCAGTGACGTCGTCGTCGTCGTCAACGTTGTCGTCCGTTCGAAGAAAAAAATAGCACGAAATGCTGCTAATATTGGAAATTACCAGCACTCAATATTGCACATCATTGTTAAGACGTCCATTAAATACCAGTTGCCAAATAAAAGCAGGCAAAATGAATGAAAATACGAAGCTCTAACTTATTACAAATGGGGTCCATGAACGGCAATGATGCTGGGGCAATTTATATATACCCATATAAAAAAACGCGCACAGATTCTAATTCAAATGAATGTTGAGATGGAGAAAAAAGCGACATCCATTTGCATTAAATTTTGAAATATTCCACACACACACATATATTTCGAATACGATGAGTCGGAAACGTCGAACGAAACGCTCTCAACGCATACAAATGTCTGATTTCCTATTTATTTTTGTACTCACGCACTTTCTCATTGAACGAATTTAAAACGCGAGAAATTCTCGAAAATTTCATTCGCCTCGAACTTCGAATATATTTTTTTTAGAATGAGATGAACATCGAGCCTTCACTTACAGAATCATAACAGACACGCACACACCGAATTATTCATTTTGAACAAAAGAAGCAAAGCCTTATCTTAATGCGACACACATGTGTTTTTATTTGCTTCAATTTTGCCGGAAGGTTTTGAATATATTTTGTATACAATGAACTTGAATATTGTTTGCGCTTCGCGTTAAACATTTGCTGATTATATATATTTGACATTTCTTTGTGCGTTTTCAATGCGAAACAGCGGCACATCTCTTTCTTTGAATAACTAAAAAGCAATTTTCAATCATAAAATAGCGATTGGCAGACGTGAACAAAATTCTACTGAATTTTAACAGGAAAAGAGCAACATATAATCCATATTTTGGTTACCAAAAATAAACAGTATTAGTAGAGTGCTTTGAGCATCGTTTGTTGTTTTCTAACGAGAAAATAGAGAAAAAACAACAAAAATGAACAAGATACACCACCATTGATAAATAAATCCAAAACCAAAGATATTTAATTTGACCTCGGGCTGCTCACAATGTGAACTTCACATGGCAAAGTTTTGGCTGCACCCCTGCTATTACATCCGACCGAAAATCAGCCAAACTTTCAGCTGTTCACATAAATAAATGGATTTTCAAGCTTTTCACACTCAGTGAAACCAATGCTGTATTGAATCGGAAGTGCTTTATTCATTTGGGCTCGAATTTCACTTGATTGCTATTGTTTTTGGCCAATAAAGTCGGATGAATGCATAACAATTTATGTACGCAGTTTTACATAGAAATGGAAACTTTCTTAAATTTATCAAGACAAAAAATTAACTTGATTGAACTGTAAGATAAATATTTCAATTTTTTGAAGGGAAGAAAAAAATAAGTTTTTTGTTAACCAATATTTATTTAATGTTAATTTTTGTTCCCTTTACAAAGATCGCCCAATAATGAAGTCACAACAAATAATCCCGATCTACGTGGTGATGTAAGCGTTGCTCTCAAATTTATTAGAAAATCAACCCAGTTCATTCGGCGTGCATTATATTCTTTCACAGCGCATTCGATCGCTTTGAGTTTTTTAATTAATTCATTTTCATTATTGTATATTCTATCCAAAAGAGGTTTTACATCATTGACAACTTCTTATGGTTTTGCCGATTTCAACAGTTTATCAAACGATGTCTTGGCCAAACCTATAAATGTATCAATGTTTGATTTTATTTTCTCTGCTTCGATCAGCTCATCGTTAAATTTCATATAAATTTCATTATATTCTGCTGACATTGTTGTGCTATTTTTGACTCGATTCAGATATTGTTAAAATATTTTAGAATATTTTGTGAGCTAATGGGAGTGGCTGTTTGCAATTTGTCGTATTTAAATTAAATTCTTTATTAAATATTATTGTAAAAACAATAACAATTTTTTTGCACATCACTTACTA